CCCTCAGGGGACCTTTCTCTTCCATATTTCACAAGCGCCTCTCCTGCCTTTAAACATCATTTAGTTGGTTTCTTTTCATAGCAGTCTCAAATACGTCTGGTGACCCTACTCCTGTGCTTCCCATCACGTCCACAAACACGCTATCTATCCTAGCTCCTCTTTCTGCAAGCTTCCTCTCTTTTCCTCAGCCTTACTCTCACTGTCCTGATTTCAATGAGAATTCAGAGGAGAATCTGTTTAAGGAAAATCACCAGTGCTGGGCACGGTGACACACTCTTATAACTCCAGCACTCTGGGAGGCTGAGGCAGAAGGATTATAAGGTGGAGCCCAGCCTCTTAGTGAGACTCTGTCTCAAAAACAAGGGAGTTGCTAAAAGAGGCAAGGGATGTAGCTCAATGTGGAAGCCCTGGGTTCCATCCCCAGTACTACCCCCAAAAAATCACAGAGGAAATAAATGACAAGTTGAGAACTCAGTAAAATGAGGAGAGAAGACCACGGACACTGGAACAAACTTTCTAGGTTCAAGTTCCTTTCCAGCACTTACCACCTGCATGACTCTGGCCCTGCTACATGCAGTATACCTGCAGCTCAATTTCCTCATCTGCAACATGAAGATAATAATTATACCTCCTTTCTTAAAGAGCTGACATGAGGCTATTTGAACACTGCATTGTGCACTTAGTAACTGTGATAGCTAATTCTGACTGTCAACTTGATTGGCTTGAGAGACCCCTAGGGGATGGATAAATCACACTTCTGGGAGTGTCTGGGTGGGCAATGGGGGCATGACCTGGGGACTGCATCTGTCCCCTGGCCCCTGCTCCTCTTCCTCTTATCCCTGCTTCCTGGAGCAGCTTTGCATCAGGTCCTTCTGCCAGGACGTTTCTTCTCCGGAGTCTGCCCCATGGACTGAAGCCTCTGAAACCGTGAGCCAAACAATCTTTTCTCCGTTAACCGACACCACCCCACCCCCCACAGTACTGGGGACTGATCTCAAGGCCTTTGTACTGAACTACACACTCGGCCCTTTTTCATTTTTTATTTTGAGGCAGAGTCTCCTATATCTCTGAGTTGCCCAGGATGGCTTTGAACTTGTGATCCTCCTGCCTCAGTCTGTCAGAATGCTGGGGTTACAGGCATACGCCACGTATGCCAAGCTCCCTTTAAGGCATTTATATCAGGTGTTCTGTCCCTGCAAGGAACACTAACACAGTAACTATTTACTTAACTGTTACAGAGCTGAGGACTATCTGGGTCTGGGAGAAAATTATTTTGAAGAAGGACTACCTATATTCCTGAAATCACATAACACCATGTGAAGATCTGGCCTGAGCCTGTCTGTCCACAATAGTTTCTATTCAAAATTGAGAATTTTACATGTTCCTTCTTTACAAAACTTGGGGGCGAGAAGTCAGACTGTGATATCACTGAGAATCCTAAAATAATTCACCCCTAAAATATTTCATCACACAGAGTAAAAGAAGTAATATTAGCCAGGAGTCCTAGCACGTGCCTATAATCCCAGCAGTTGGGAGGCTGAGGCAAGACCATCCTTGTGAGTTCGGGACCAGCCTGGGCTACAAAGTGAGCTCAAAGTCAGCCTGAACTGCATAAAGACACCCTGTCTCAAAAAGACAAAAAAGGTAATATTTACTGAAAGCTTCACTTCACATGTGTAGTATCATTTAAGGCTAATAGCATCCTCAGAAAATAGACATACAACCTCCAATTTAAAGAAGGACATGGAAATGTAATAAAATTTGCCCCAAATCACACAATATTATAAAGATTTCCCAGCTTCAAAGCCAAAGTTATTGTCAGTTACATTTTTATTTTTTTTCCTCAAAAGGGTAAGACCTTGTTCTATTTCTTGTGGACTGCTGGTGCCTATATTATAAAAAATTACTTTTCACATACATATTTCTTCTTCTTTACAAAACAGAACAATAAATTCTAGAATGTTGCTCTGGGCAATCAACGTAGGTAGTGCCCTGTGAGGTGAGCAAGGGAATTTAAATTGAGCATGCTTGCATTATAAAGGCAAAGGGCCCACAGGAATAAACAGGTGGTTAAAATGCCTGGCTTTCAATTTGTTTCTAAAGAAAATTTCTGTTTACACAGGACATGTTAGTGAAAGTTGCAGAAAAAGACCCTGCTTTCTGTTTGTGTTGCTTCCAGTAAATACTTGACAGGAATAGTTTCCAACATAAGGGGAAGAAGCTCAAAAGTAAGTTCACAAAGCCCCATAAGGTGATGAAAATGAGTAAGGGGGCTGTGATGGAGTTCACCACACAAAGAAGGCCATGGCCATAACTCGCAGTTAGAGTATTGCAGACCTTTACTTTAACACTGTTATTGATCTTCCACCCATCACTATCCATCTGGTAAGCAAACACACTGTGAAAAAACACATCCCCTGTACTAGGATAAATCTGTGTTTTAGGCTATAAAGGGGACTCAAATACAAGGAACTGATTAAAAAGACGAATAAGGCAAGGCACACTATCAGGTACCAAGAGGTGCCAGAGATGAAATACAATGCGAGACTCTAGGGTTTCTGATAAGGGGGCCATGGAGATAGGGTGGTGAGATAAGATTATTGAGCACCAGGAAACTGAGTCCAGAATCAGAGACTGTGTCAGAGACACAACACTAACATTAACCCTAACCCTACCACTAACTCTATATCCTAACCCTAACCTTCAACATATTCCCTAACCCGAACCCAAACCCTAACACTTGTCTAGCACTAACCCTAACCCTAACCCTAACCTTAACACCAACCCTAACCCGAACCCTATATCCTAACCCTAACCCTAACCTTCACCATATTCCCTAACCCTAACCCTACCCTAACCCTTGTCTAACCCTAACCCTAACCCTTGTCTAAACCTAACCCTAACCCTAACCATATTCCCTGACCCTATTCCCTAACCTTAACCCTATTCCCTAACCCTAACCCCACCCTAACCCTTGTCTAACCCTAACCTTAACCCTAACCCTAACCCTAACCCTAACCCTAACCCTAACCATATTCCCTAACCCTATTCCCTAACCCTAACCCCTAACCCATGACCTAGACCTGGAAAGCACCAACAGGTCAGACACCAAATCTGAGTGAGGACAGCACGGCTGGCGCTACAGAGATGGCCTGTGACAAGGTCAGCACGTGGGTAGGACACATTCTTCGTAAACAGTGATCTAGTTTAGAAACAAATGGAAAGTTAGGTAGTTCAAACTGCGATTTTCCCTTGGGTCCTTTGGCTTTATAATTCGCGCATATATAATGTGCTTGAGGGAGTCTGAATTAGTACCCAAGAACAATGGAATTATACCACAGGTTCTGAGCAGGACCTAAGATGAGTTCAGTTAGTTTTCCAGATGCTTCGTGGAGAACTGCTCATAAAGCAGCAAGCTCGGAAACTAGGAGACTCCTTACAGTGACATTACAGAGGCTGAGGAGAAAAAAACTCTGAAGACTCATCCGAAATCTCCTCATGGCTAAGGGACTTCACTGGTAAAAGGAAGCTGAATTTATTCTAACTATTTCATTTCCAGCAACCTATCTGCTACGAAGTAAATTGTGTCGTTATCACTTTGTCAGAGGTAGAGAGAGCGTGCTATGCATTAGAAATGATATATACGCCACTGAGCGTAAAAAAGCATTTCCTGGCGCGGCCAGCATCTACTGTGGAGAGCTTTTGGTCCTCCTTAAAGAGCAGACCAATATTCTAGGAAATAAATGCTTCTCTCTGGGCGAAATGCAGAATTGCAGAAATCATTTGCTAAATATGGCCGGCCGTCCTTAAGAGGGCAGAACCTCCTTCTTCGGGGCGTAAGCTACTTTATTAGAGGCCATTTATCAATTTCTACCAATTATTATGCATAACGGAAGGGACACCTGCGGCCCGCTCAGCCCGAAGCTAGTTCGTTAAGTCTGTCAGCGGTGGCCCTGCCCGCAAACTTTGCAGCTTGGAGCTGCTTTGAGCATGGCGGGGTCCGGAGGCCTCTGCCACTCGGTCTTTCTGAGTCCAACTCAGCATCACAAAACACCCCGGAAGGGGCTGGGGATTTAGCTCAG